GGATTTATTTTGAGATGTGGATTCCCAAGGCTAACCAGGAGGTTCAACACCTAATTTTAGGAAATTACATTTGAAACTGGCCTATTTCATACTGAAGCCCCAGGTGAAAATGTGGATAAGCATCAAAGACTAGTCACACTGTATTATAAAATGGAATTAACATGCAGCAGACACTGTGTCCTCACCGACACACTGCAGCTCCAGCCACACAGATCAAGTAGCATGTGGAAGGACACCCTGCACTGCAACACCACCACTGTCAGCGGTTTCTGTACACATAACCATCCAGAGGGACCTGGACAGGCTGGAGAGGTGGGCCTCTGCCAACCTCATCGTGTTCAACAAGGCCAAGTGCAAGGTCCTGCACCTGGGTCGGGGCAATCCCAAGCACAAGTACAGGCTGGGTGGGGAATGGATAGAAAGCAGCTCTGAGGAGAAGGACTTGGGGGTACTGGTGGATGAAAAGCTGGACATGAGCCGGCAGTGTGCGCTGGCAGCCCAGAAAGCCAACTGTATCCTGGGCTGTATCCAGAGAAGTGTGGCCAGCAGGTCGAGGGAGGGGATTCTGCCCCTCTACTCTGCTCTGGTGAGACCCCACCTGGAGTGCTGCGTCCAGCTGTGGAACCCACAACTTGAGAACAATACAGACTGGTTGGAGCGAGTCCAGAGAAGGCCACGAAGATGCTCAGAGGGCTGGAGCACCTCTGCTATGGGGACAGGCTGAGAGAGTTGGGCTTGTTCAGCCTGGAGAAGAGGAGGCTCCAAGCAGCAACTGGAGGGGGCTACAAGGAAGCTGGGGGGGACTTTTTACAAGGGCCTGTAGTGACAGGACAAGGGGTAACAGGTTTAAACTGAAAGTGGGGAAGTTTAGATTAGATATCAGGAAGAAGTTCTTCCCGGAGAGGGTGGTGAGGCACTGGAACAGGTTGCCCAGAGAAGCTGTGGATGCCCCATCCCTGGAAGTGTTCAAGGCCAGGCTGGATGAGGCTTTGAGCACCCTGGTCTAGTGGAAGGGGTCCCTGCCCATGGCAGGGGGGGTGGGACTAGATGATCCTTAAGGTCCCTTCCAACCCAAAACCTTCTGTGATTTCATGGTAATGGTAAAATTCTGCCAATTTATAAAAACTGCTCAGCTTTTTCAACAATTCCCAAATGTAAAAGAACACGGGAATGCAAATGAGTACCATCCACAGATCAAGCTGCAGGAAAGCTACTTAGTGTAGGACATGGAAGTAATTAAGGTTTTCAGAGCTTCCCAAGTCTTTTTCCTAATGTTGATCTCAAAAGCACTATCATACAGCAAATTGTCTGTAATCAATCCAAATAACATACAGAGCCATCTGAGGGGGAAAAAAACCCAGATCACAGTACAGTAACAAATACACAGAAAATTTAAGTAAAGAATTATTGCCTACTAGTATGCCAGATATGACACATACACGAGAAATATTTCATACCTTTATATGCTTGGCAGTCACTTCTGGAGTTTCATCATAACCACCAAAAGTATTGGGAAGACCTTGATACATAATTTTTCTAATATTACAATTTGTTTAAAGCCCACAAGAACAGAAATAAATTCCAAAAGAGACAGATTTAAAGTAGCTACGCTTGTGTGAGGACTGAAACACCTCATCACTCTTGCAATCATTACTCAGGACATTATTAATTATGCAAGAGAGCATTCTGGGTCCACTGCCACAAAACTAACAGCAGTTACTTTCAGCAGTTTAAAATATTCTTAATCTCTTTTTAATAGTGAAAACTATCAGCTTTCCAAGCAAATGCAACTCTATTACTGCTCAGGAGATGGAACGGTTCGGTTACATCTCGTCTGCCTGTGGGCACAGGCGCACCTGCACCAACCCACCTGCGTTGGGGTAACAGATGATGTAGGCTGCTGTACATTTTCCGATCGTTTCAATGAAAGGTCGCATTTCAACCGCCCCCAAAGCACAGTTTAAGCCGATACTGGAAAATAAATTTTCAAACATTATTTCAAAGTAAAAACACCTTTTACACACCAGATGAATGTTATTGCTGCCAACTTCTAACTCCCACAATCATCTACAACAAAACCAACCTGATCTCCAATTTCTTTAATCATCATCAATACAGCAAGACTGTGCGAGAGGAGAGCTCTCAGGTGGAAGGAAAGCGCAAGGGGAGGGGGGCTGGACTGAATTGAACTGGGAACAGTAAATCAAGATTTCATTTCAAAATCCAGGAGGATAGGGACAGCATTTTGGCAGCAACTGCAGCAACATGACGGCTCTTTTTGTCTAGGTGAGAGAGAGAACAAGTGGAATGAGAATGACAGACTGGAAAGGAGTCTTGTGCTACAAGAAGTATGAAAAAGGCTGAAAGATTTATGACGTGCTTCAAGCCACTAACTCATAATTTTCTTTTAAAATAATACATAAACTATGTCAACCTCAGAAGAAACCAAGTGCCTTCCCCAGGATGCCTCATGGCAGCACTAAGCTTGGGCAACTGATTTTGCTACGTCTCAGTAACCTAGACAGCACTACAGCAGAGGGATTTTCTTGCATGAATAAGCTTCTCACACAATTTTAACAGTATATGAGGAACAATCACATTTTCTTTCACTCTGTGACAGATACTTAAATGTGACTTGCACTCAGAATGTCTACATCGATATTGAAAAATTGATATTTCTCCTTCAGAAAGCATATAAAAGATCTTGTACATATGTTTCCTGATCTGTCTGCACCATTCTAGAAATCACCTTATGAGCACTCCAAAACTGAAGAGGTGCTCCCAGTGCCGTTCTAAGATATAAAAAAGCTCTCTCCTTTCCTGGAATAAGTGCCTCCAAGAGGATGCAAGCCAACCCACTGGAACAGGACTCTCCCTTCCACATTTAATATCTGTCTTTCTCTGGTTCTGAGTACAAACTCACCTGTCACTCCCTTTACCTCACCTCACCAGAGAGATGCTGTAAAACCAGCCAGCCTACTCGCCCAACAAACACCCCTTGATGTTCCCACTTGACTTACTGGGTCCTAGCCCTCCAGCCTGCCTGAATGATTACCCACTACAGGGGCTGCTGACAAACCTATGTATGAGCACGACACCACCCAAGCGTTACCTGTTTCAAGTGGCAAGTGGAACTAAGCACAGACACAGACATTCATTCAGAAACAAGAAGTGGCTTCCATGGCTAGTATCATCTCCCCACGGCACTCAACAGCATCATGAGAGAGAACATTTGAGAAAAGCAAACCGTTAACTATGCCCTAAAAGACGGCAGCCTTGAACCAGATTGCTGGTACAATATCACTGCTACCCTAGTGTGTAATAACCATCACAGCCTTATCTTAAACATCACCTTCCTCCCTTGCTCATTTCTTCACAGCAGTCACACATCAGCTCCTATGAAAACTAAGGCTGCAGAGTGCCCTTGGGACCAGAACAAACACCACACGAGGCCCCTAAACTCAGCAATGTCATCTTAATGCTACCACGGCAGCAACAACCACAGAGGCCAAAATAACACGAAGGGAACTCATGCCACACCTGAGCACCTTTCAAGGCAAGCAGCTTGTCGCACATCTTCCAGCACTTACAAAGTGCAGTTAACGTGTTTCTCAGCTATTATCCATACCAACCGGACACAAAGCGCACACTTCTTGGGGGGCTCCAAAGCAAACTGACTTAAGGACAACACATCGCCCTAAACAGGGCACATAAAACCCACACGGAAACATGTGAACACGTACAACATGATCCCTAGCGTACTACCACCACCAATCAGCTTTTTCACACCCTAAAGCCACTCTGTACCGATGTGCCAACAGAAGAACACTAAATGCAATCTGCTCCCACAACTAAAACCATTCTGCCACAGTGCTATACAGTAGCCTTCACATGAATGGGAAACAGACCCTAAGCATTCAGACCCCTAAGACAGCTTCTATGAAATAGGGTTTAATAGAGTCTTGATTTCTGCTCCAGTGCCCTTCACTCCTCTTGAGAGGCAAGAGAGTTATGAGCAAGACTATCTGAGACAGACTCGTGCCAAATACGGATCACTAGGCTGTGATGCTGAGAGAAGGAGTCAACTACCACCCTGTTCCAAGAGGTTCCATATGTTACTTCGGGAGCACCGTCTGGCCTGGGAAAGTGGAGCCTCAAGGGCAGTCAGGAAAGCTGTGAATGCAGTCTCCTGCTTTTGTACCACTGAGGTGACAGATTGCGCGTTTTAGCTGGAATTTTGTTGTGAAAACAAACAATGGCTCATCACAATGTGCATGGCATGCACTGCTAACAGTGAATTAAATGTTTTAAGTTAGAATATTCTAGGGGGAAAAAAAAAAAATCTATTTCCAGTGTAAGTTTTTGTGTGATGAACCAACCTGAGGGAAAAATGGTAAAGAGGGAAGAGGAGGCAAGGATAAAGTAGAATAGGGCATAGAAACACAGCAGAATAAGCAGGGAAGGGCATTCAAATCAACATGCAAAACCTTGCACAATGGCCAAAATCTGCTATATTATGCATTTTCACAAACCTTGACCTCATAGTTTCAACTTTTCTGCCTGAACAGAAAAGGATGGAGGTAAATGGAGGCACCAGGAGCTCTCAAAACACAATGCACATCCTTGAGGAAAACACTCAGGTAAAAGTTCAGCAAAAAGAACACTGGAATGAAGTCCTATGATTCGCTCTCTCAAGCCGCCCTGAAACATCCGGAGTTGGCACTGCTTCCCTCTAAGGAAGAGATGTAAGCCCTGCCCATACCAGGAATTAGCTCCTTGCACAATCTGAGACAGTAGGCGATGGCAAACTACAGTTTCAGATTTCTTGTTTTTTTTAATGCTTGACTTAATTATGATTTCAGTGGCTGTTGCAAACACAATACCCCAGATTATTTAGAGCAATGTTTTAAAAATCCAGCATCCTTTGGAAAACATAATTTCTGTTGAGGGAACACTAGCAGAACACACTAGCAAAACATTTGATTAAATATGAACACAGCTGGTATATCTTCCATTTAGCTGCAAGCAAGGGGTTAGAACAGAAGATAATCATAAACAGAAAGTCAGCTACAGATAATTTACTAAGAGAATGATACGTTTCCTTACCAAAGTGGCTTACTGTGGGAAACACTAATGACAAACGCCTCTCCTGTCTGGCCTGAGAGGGTACGCCCACTCTTATCCACAATGGTTCCAGAAACCTAAGTATCAGTTGGGCACAGAGAAAGAATAATAATTAAGTTAACAATAAAACCAAGAACTTAAATTGCTGAATTGCTAAAAGTCAAAGCAGAGGGACCTGTGCTCCACTGAAAGTCATGAGGCACAATCCAAACCTAAAAATTAAACCCTTTCTTCACTGTAAACATTTAAGTATTTTAGCTAGGTGAAAGCCAAACCTTTGACCAGTCATCTTTCTCTCCCCTGGCCTTGGGGTGGGGAGGGGAAGGGCGGAACCACCACAAACCATTCAGCAGCAAGGTAGTGTTAGTATCACGGTATCATTCTGATGACAGCCTCTGAAATAGTCTGCAGTGGTTACTTGTTTAGGCAGCTATCAGCAGTCACAGCTCTTCTTTCTTCCACATCCTCTCTACCTCCCCCTTTACATTATTTCATGTCTCAAGACTGCTATTAGGTTGTTTGGTGGTGGCTGGTGGGAAAGCAGACCTTTAAACCACGTTACTCATTTGCCACAACCTAACACCAGCTGTTGCGACTTCACAGTGGACACAGAGTTTTAACCTGTATAATCATAGCTCTTAAGTACGACACAGAGAGAGATGTGCAAATAATAAATAATGTCATGACCCCAACTAACAATTACAAAGTTTAGAATTCAAGAGACGTTTCAATGAGCCAGGAAAACCTTCCCAAGCCTGCAAATCTTTTTTCCAGAAGATGGAACGAGTTTAGAAGACTCCATGCAAAGGTAAATCCAGTTTTTTACTCAAATGCTTTAATATCGATGCTACTTTTCTTCAAACTAGTCAGTCAAGTGAGGTAACCAGTGGAATCCTAGAGAGTGAGCTGTGCTAAGGGTTGTATTTCTCAACATAAATGAACTGGAAAGAAAGCAGAGAACAAGGCAACCAAGCTCACTGACCACTCTGTTCCAGACAATGAAGACAAAAAGTCAACTCTATGTAATCAGAAAACTCTCAGTGCTAACTGACTTGAGTGATAAAAAAGTGGAAACCTATTGCTGATAAAGTAGAAAGTTGTGAACACAGGAAAAATTCAACATGACAACACCTCCAAACTAGTCTTTAATGCTCGAGAAACCAACCTGAGTAACAAAAGAAAGATTTCTGTAGGCAGTTTCAAAGCTCATTAGCAGTAAAGTAAAACATCAGGAATTGCAAAGGAAGAAATGTACACGGCAGAGAACATCACTAGGGTATGGTACAAATCCCGGCTGTCTGCACTCTGGCTGCTGTATGCTATTCCAATTCCCTCTGACTCAAGGAAGTGGAAAACAAGAATGTGACAAGAATAATGCATGAACAGTATGGAGCGGCTGAATAGACAAGGACTCTTCAGGAGGAAAAGGTGACTAAAGGAGGGGCTCTCAGGACTATAAATGCCATGACACACGTCAAAGGGAACTTGGAACAGCTGCTCCCTGTCACTTTCAAGAGACAAATGGCAAGACACAAAAGAAGCTATCAGGTGGAATGGGAAAGTAAGCGAACTTGCAAACCAGTGTGTTCATAAGCTGAGAAAATTCCTGGCATTGTTCTGAGGATGCCTGGGCGCCACAAAGGTTTGAACAGAGGTTCAAGGAAGGAGTAAACACATCCAACCAAAGGGTATGAACAGATACAAACTGTAGATCAGAAAGCCCGGGCTGCAAACTGCAGAAAACTGGAAGAAGACATCAGAACATTGAAAACCAGCTTATTCTTTGTTTTGTATTTTTCATATTCGCTCCTCCGCATTCATGACTTGCAGCTGTCAGAAGACGACATGTCAAAGGAAGAGCATGGAGTTAGGTAGACCTTTTCTGACTTCAAATGGCCACTCGTATTCTACTTGAAAATGTAGCAGAATTTGCTTCATTCCATCCTTGAAGCACTGGTTCTTATCACCCTTAAAACAGCAAGCCTGAAAAAAATTCATGATGAGACCTTTTCCTGAGTAAACACAGCACGAACACACACTGGAATTAAGTCATTCCTTAGTCTTCAGCCTGGTCAGTTGGACAGACCTACCCAGGGCTGATTCCATAAAGCTATTCACATAGAAGTTTTTCCTTCCATAATCATGTGTCATTCCCAAGACACTTATTTCCTTCATTTCAAAATGCTTTTATCAACTGCCACCTCACCTAGTTCACAAATCAAGCTTAAGTATATGGAATATATTAAAGAAATAACATATACTTACAAATATGGGTCGGGGAGCATACTCTTCCTCAAACAACGTCTGGAGTGCAAAAAGAGCTGCCTATAGAAGAGTAAGTTGCAAAATATTAAAGACGTTTCGGGAATTCTTCAATTTGTTGGGTTTTTTTTTTGTGTGGGTTTGGGGTTTTTTTAATTAATATTTTTCTTGTGGCTTTTTATGCAACTTGCTACCCCATATGCCTGTGAGAACATACTACACTTAAGAGGTTTTACCCTTGCCTCCAACATCTTCCAGGAGTTCCAATACACATTTAGGTAACAAGTAGAAAGGAAGCACCATGGGGTAACCGACTACGACCAAAATCATTGAGAAACCCAAATCACATTACCATGGACTTCTCCCTCACGTCTGCAGCATAGCCCCCATCCCAAACATGGTTGGATGCCCTATTCCCAGTACACATTCACTGCCCTTGAATCTGTTCACACACGGAGTTTGCAAAGGATTCTAACCACCACTTATTTAACAGCAAGGACTGCAGCGACCCCTTGGAAGGCCCTGAAAATGTCCTGTCTCTTTAGGGTACAAAAGTTGGATGTGAACATGAGCTCAGCACTATGTTAAGCCTATAGGATCCTAGCCAAACCTGGTCAAATCTGCAAAGGACAACCCATGCCACTGCACATGCTAACCAGCCTGTGGCAAAAGCCTGAAGAAATGTTGTGTGCGTATGCAGCCAGACTTTTCCCAATAAAACTGCAAGATAGTTTTAAGCACCCTAACAACTCTGCCACCTGCACTGAGCAATTACTAGATAAAGGAGGTGTCAAAATCACATGAATTGTGGCTTAATTCAATATTTTATTTTTCCTATTTTACCCTTCTAATCCTCTACTCCCAGCTGTCGTTTTTAAAGCTGATGGCAGTGTCAGAGCTTGCAAAAAAACCCCACATTTTAACAGGATTGTCTCACACCTGCTATCAGATACACTGGACATTCCCTCTCCAGTGTGCATCACAAGCATCCTTTGGACAGACATACTTACGCTGAAAAATACAAACATCAGATGTATTTGGAGATGTTGTGCAAAACAGCAGAGCTTCTGGGAATAAGAGGAGAGCCACAAAGATACTAATGGCCCGTACTAAAAGGCAAAGGAAAAACTGTGGAAAAGGCTATTTTATTATTACAAAACATGTCCTTACATTCTATCTGTTTGCTATCAACTGAAGAGCCTTTTCATGTATTTAGCAGGCAACAGCTGATAGATCTTACAAGTACCACACTGAATTTCCTTAGGTAGTACACCAAATACTTATATTACTGAGTATTTTTATTCCAGGAGTCTCACCTTGGCATTGGCTGTGTCAAATACAGTTTCCACTAACAAGATATCAACTCCTCCATCCAAAAGTCCTTTGGCTTGCTCCTTATAGGCTTCAACCAGTTCATCAAAAGCTGCAAAACAGGAATTATGTTAATTTCATCTGGCGGTATCTCTTTCAAGACCATCACCTAAGTTAAATAACTTGATGGTTATAAACACTCACTTATGTTCCTGTAATCCGGTCTCTCCACAGATGGTGACACAGAGAGTGTCCTGTTTGTTGGACCCATGGCTCCAGCAACGTATCTCTTAATTCCTAAATCAAGACATAGCAAACCAAACCAAACCAAACAAACAAAAAATTACCTCTGCTTTTTACAATGACAGTCATTGACTTTTTGTTCCAAGTACCATTTGTCTCTGCAATGGGAAGCTTCATTCAATTCCTTTACATGCACAGCGTAGAACTGTCCTGGCACTTTTCACTAGATAACCTGACTGGAATATTCTGGCACATGTTCATAAAAAAAATAAATCACTTTTTTTAAAGCATATTTCAGATCTTATGTTTTTACTGCATACTGTGAATCACTATTGCATACCATGAATCACAACAGTAAGGTGCTATCTGGACAGCAGCAGCAGCAGCACTGTTAGCTTCAAATACAGTTTGATGCCAGAATACAAGAGGAAATTACTTGTCTTTGGAAGACATCACTGTCTACAGCAGTGGAAATGAGCTACAGCCCTCTCACATAAAGCCCAGAAGGTAAAAGACTGCATGTTTACAGATGACGGTCACATACTAAGCACATTTCAGTAGCTGCTGAGCAAAGTCAAAGCACAAGACTTACACTAGGAGCAACTGGTAATCCACATTTACCTACAATCAGCTATCCTAATCCTGTAATACAAAAACTTGTGTCTTACAAACCTAAGTAAATTACAAAAGTCCCTGCTGAATTCCTCTAAAACACATCTGGAAGATGTGGATCACCTGGACTCTGAAACAGGCAGGCACAGGACAGCCATCCTGCAGAACACACTAAGGACCAGGTGCTGCAAACATGCTGATATTAGTGTGATTATTAATATCGTGAAATTGCTACTGTGCCTAATGTAAACCACCAAGCTATCCTTTAGTTACCAACATTTCAAAGATAGTTGCAAGACAGTCAAAACCATGAATGAATAACAAATTAGAACCAATATTGCTTACCTGTCTGAGCAGTTACATGATCTGCTGCTTTTCTGGCCACCTGTGCAGAGACTCTGTTTAATCGATACGCCTAGAACAAGTACAGAAAGTTATCGAGTAGCCTTTCATTCAGTACAGCATAACTCTTCCTCAAAGAAAGACAACACTTCGATTCAATAGCATGCAGTGTGCTCTGAAGGCTCCCCAGGCCATACAAATACACACAAGCACTATTATAAAACTTCAAAAGGAACAGCTCCGTGCATCTCAGGAACACAGATATGTGGCAGGTCTCATCCCTCTTACACCCCAGCTACAGCTGCTCGTCATGAAATTTCTGTACTAATTAAATCCTACTGAAATCAACAGAAGCTGAGAACAGGACTTCGACAAACAAAATTAACCTACTTTTAAAACCACCTTTTATTCAAGTAGCATAATTCCAAGTATTTTCTTTCACATATTTCTCCGAACACAGAACAGGTATGACAAATGCAAGCTTGAAAGGACTTCTGCATACACCAGCACAAACAACACACAAATAATATCCAGGAAAAAAGCAGTTCCATTGTGGCATTTGCTAAGTTGGAAGGACTGAAGCAAAACATCCCTGTTCACAGAACTGAGACATTCTGGGAATGTTCAAACAAAATCTAGGGCAAATTATCATTGCCTGTGCCTTCGTCAACAAGAGGCCCACTGTGTCACATGCAGCAAGTACAATTGCCTACAGTGGTAGAAATGAGCTACAACCCCGTCACATGGCTCTAGAGACAACATCCAGTCCATAAACACAATACCAATGAACTCTGGGATTAAGCTAACCTTGGCTGCTAGAGACAAAAATCTTGATTAACATTCTCATGTATAAATAGTTTAGCATTCTTACCAAAGGCTCGAGGCCATAGTCAGCTTGTGCAACTCGGGTGCTACTGAAAGTGTTCGTTTCTATGATGTCAGCACCTGCCAGCAAGTATTCCTGCAAGACATGGAAGGAAAAAAAAATCTCCAAGACCTCCAGAATCAAGATCTGGAATGAAAGCAACCCAACTATTTTGACTCATTCAGTTGACAAAAAGTCACAAATCTTCTCTTAATGCAAAGCAGATCAACCTCTGAAAGCCTTGCTCAAAGGCACAGGCCAAAGCAATAGAAGTGTTCCATGTAACTCATTTTCAGAGTTTGAGTGTCAGCCACGCTTTCTGTTAACAGTGGCAGTCCAGCACCTGAAGCACATTCTAGACTTTTGCAGAGGGACATGGTGGGACATAGCCCAGTTGCTATCAGCAAGCAAGGGCTGCTGCGGACAGACTCAGAAAAGGCACCAGTTAAGCAACAACACAGAATTAAAAAATGTGAACATTCTGAGGAAATCTGTACAGCACAAGCGCACACTGGGACAGAATACAAGCTTAGGAGAATTATGTTTTGTGCAGATCACATTTAAAGTTTAGCTAATGGCCCAGATTCACAAGCTTCCTGCTCCAGTTTGGTTGTCTAATTCCCACTGAAGTGAACTGAAATCATTGCAAACTGAAATATTTTTGCAGATTCTAGTCTGTGTTTTGACAACCTCTATCAGTTGCCCTCCTCCCTCCCTAGCTCCTCTTTTCCATCAGGTTAACCCTTTGGTGACCTCTGTGTATTCAAGGAAATTAAGACATTCCAAGTGCTAGTAAGTCAAAAATACTGATGTGGCCATTAAACTTAAACCACGCAGATTTTCTGATAACAAGCAGATGAGTTCAGTGGGTTCAACACAGCAAACCAAGTCTAGGTCCAAACAAGAGCAGAAAAGAGTTAAATTTACTTTAAAACATGTTTTGCTGCGAACTAGCATGCTTCCTCTTAACTCCTCCTGGACACATACGGAAATACCTACAAACAGCTATATGAAAACAGACAAGTTCTTAAGTGTACACTAATCATCAAGTTATGAAGTTTTGAAAAACCATCTCGACCAAAGAAAGATGTTAAATGCGTACAGCTTTGTACTAGCTTTTCTTCAGTTCACATCTGTCATTTTAACAAAAGGCCTTGAACTTTAGTGTCCTACCACCACAGAAGGAAATAATATGCTCAAAGCAGGAAGATAATTTTTGCCTTTGAAAATACATCACCTCTCTTACCACTGAATCATACTTTGCCAGACAAGATACAGCTAACATTTACTTTTCAAGTTACTGATACCTCTCTGAGATCTGACTCTCTGGGACATTAACAAAACAAACACATACACAAACCAATCCCCAGAACAAATCAAAACAAAAAAACAACACCCATATATATAGTGAGATTGTAGTGACTTTGTAGAAATATTTTCATCTATTATTTCAAGTTCCATCCAAATCTCAGAAGAAGTAACTCCCAGCAGCTATAAAAAAATGAAGTCACTACCCATGGCTCAGAAAGCACCTGACTCAGAAATTGCTGCAGGCATGGGGACCACCACAGACTCATTCTTTTCTTACACTCTTCCTAAAGCACCGGCCATTGGAGGCACAATAGCAGGCTACTGTAGGTTTGACTCAGTTTATTGGTTCTCAAATCACATCATTATTGCTCTGCTAAACCTGCGAAATGGAACTGTTAAACCAGCTTACCCCATTAAAACCACAAGCTATTATAAATCCCAAGGTTCTGACGACTACAGCTGACAGTCTAGGGACTGAACTCAATTTATAAGTACTTCCTCCTGAAATTTGTATAGGTCAGAGACTCTGATTCTTTTCAACTCGTGGTTCTTAAAATCCAAAGAATGACAGCTAGAATGTATATATAAAAATACAGATTACATACCAAGTTTAACAAGCATAAGACAATCATGATTCTAATCAATGAAATACAGATCTTTTTAATAAATCATTGGAAAAACCCAGAACAGATGTGAGGCTTCAACTGAATATCAACTAGTTGGAATCCTATTCAACTGTTCCAGTTTTTACAGTAAGACCAACAAACACCTGCAACTCAAGAAATACAGACTTTTAAAAACAGCTTCCTAAGTCGTAACTGAAGACAGGAAAACAGTACCATCTGTCTGCAAGTTTCTAATGATCAGTCCTAGACTGTTTAACTCTCTGGGCCACACATTAATATTCTAAGGAAAAACCGAGAATATGGTAGCACATAGACTATTAGGAAGCCATATACTCACTAACTACAGAGAGGCCTGCTTCAGGCTGCCACCTTTAACAGCTCCTTGAGACACAATTATAGAAACATGCATCTAGAATTCAGATGTGTCCTACTTAGATGCATTTCAAGTGCTGGTTGAGGAGAAGAGAAGAAAACCAAAATAAATCAGAATCTACAATTAATAGAAATGCATGAGGACCTTAAATCCAAAAGGGATGTAAAGCCAATGCTGCCGGGGTGACATCAGGAACCAAGACACGAATGCTGTGCTCACACAACCAGAACAGTCAGATCTGCTCCATTTTTTTCGCATGGTTACCTAGCACTCTCTTCCCTATCCCCAGAAGATGCAGGAGAGCCAGTAGCCTGTGGCATTGAAAAGGGAAGCGCAGAGGCCAAATTCTCCTTCCTTCTCTTGTCAAGAGACAAAAATCAGAACCACTTACCTTGTGTATGTCACAGATTATATCCGGTTGAGTTATACTGAGAAGGTCATTATTGCCTTTCAAAGGCTTGGAATGATCTTTAAATTCATGCCCTCGGAAATCTTCTTCTGACAGGGCATGTTGCTGGATCATGGTACCCATGCCTCCATCCAAAACCATTACCCGCTCCAGCAGAACTGATTCAATTTCATCTTCCATGCTTTTCTGGGGATCTGCTGCAAGAAAGTAAATCCAGTATTTAAGCAGCTTTGAAATTCCCCATCTATACATCTGTACAATCTAAGCTCTTCCCATTTCAGAAATGCAATAAAATAACTAACCCTCAACTGAAACCAAACAGTGGTTGGTTTACTTCGCCTACAGCTTCAATCATCTGATATTAAGTAACAACAGCTGCATCTAAATCGAATTAGACTCAACTGGTCCTTTACCTACGTACAGTCACCTGCAGAAACAAGAGTATCAAAAGTTCACAAGGGCGTACACTAAACTCTCTCTATAAGCACTGAAAAGTGTGATAATTCCCACTACAGCAATGCAGAGCTGCCCCTTGGTACCAGACACAGTGCTGTTAGTGCTACACAAGTGCAAACCAGAAACCAGTAAACATTTTTTTAGAAAAAATCTACTTTAATTGCCTATACTATAACTATAAAGAGAAATAAATTGAGCAAGCAAAAGCAATTCTTCAACGGAGTCCCAAATTCACTTCTTTCTAGGATTAGAGTAGTAAATAACAATTTTGCACTTCTGTTGGTGAGCAAACGCCAAGACACATCAACACATAAGCTCCAGGTTTTATTTTCTTTGGCACAAACATAGCAAGTTCTTCTGCTCCGCAACAATGCCAGAAGAAAACAAATCAGGCAAATCACATGCTAATTACAAGACATCAGACAGGGTAAGTCTAATCATGACTCAAACAGAAAACTGTACAAATTTCAGAGCTTTCATTAGGAATGAAGATGTGGTATTGTAATGCTTTAAGATCCCAAAGGCCATCCCAAACATTCAACAAAAAACCAAAACTATAATCTGAGACTTGTATTAAAAAAACACTCCAAAAACCCCAAGACCCCAACAAAAGTAACCCTACTTTTCCTCTACGTACGCAGAATCATTTCAGAATGAAAACACACTTACATGCATACAGCAAAATAATCTAACAGCCTCTAGCAAAAACCCAATTTACAAGAGTGGGACCCCATTTATTTTTTCACAACCACGCACATTAATGATGTGTTATTCTTAATCACTCTCCCTCATTCTGCTTGGGCTTACTCACTTTGAGAAAATACCTTCTTTGCAGTTTGGTCACGCACTCATCAAAACACTTGTAAAAACAGAATGCTTTCTGAGGGACAGAAACATCCTTACACCTTACAACTTACACACAGTAGTACTTAAAAATCACTGGCCACTGCTAACTGATTTGACTTTTTTCCTTCTGCAGTCTTGCAATGCAACTTCTGTTTTGACATCAGTACTATTAAAAAAAGAATACGCTGGAGATAAGATGAGGCCAAGAGTAAAGCATTACAAGGTTACATTTATACCAACACTGGAAAAACAGCTCCACATCAGGTGTAGTCTCAGCAAGAAGAGAAGCCAAATCAAATTTGCTCTATATCAAGTATGAAGCATTTGAAGGGAGATTAAAATATAAAGAAAAGCAAGTCCCCCTCGTTTGAAACTGAAAGTTTTAACATTATACAGGCAGCCTCACCAGGTTCTTAAACTTGTTCATGTGAAACCATGGTATTATTCATGAAAATAAAATCAGTCCTAGAGCTAAAGACTTGCAGAAGCAAGACCCAAAAAACTGTATCTGAAAGTACGACTGCAATGCAGACTCCCATGAAGCATAACTCGTGCTCTGCAGGAGCTACAGCCCAAAGAGACATAGACATTACAGCTGGCTTTGGCTTTAATGTAGCCTCTCCGCCAGCTCCTTGGTGCGGAGAGCTGCAGCCCAGACAGCCGAGAGAGGCCATCGGAGCCCTCCCAGAACCAGTCCTCTTCCTTCCTATAGGCTTCTGCCACTTTTACCTTCGTGCTTCCCACCTATCTTGTCATACACACTGGGGACCAAACAAAGATTTACAGCCATCTGTTCGGTTTTAAATCCTGCATCTCACGTGGTGTGTTTTGCTTTCTCCTCAGCCTGCCTCACTGAACAGATGCCGCTCCAGTATACGGTTTTCTGCTCAGAGGAGCACAGATTTCTGCCTCATCTCTGCTCCCAGCTCTGTGAGAGCCTTACTCTGAAGAAGCTTTCCAAATCTGTGCTTCTTCAGCAGCACCTCAAAAAGCTGCAGGAACTACGGTGGGAATCGTGGAGGTTCCCTGGCTGTCAGCGCCACTCTACATTTTATAAACTGATGGCATAGCTCCAAGCCCACCAAAACCCAATCACCCTGTCCTTGCTACAGATAACACTTGACGACTTCCAACAAAAGCCCGCACTACCTGAAGCTATGCTCTGGCACACTGACAATGCAATTTTCAAGTTGGAAACAAAGTCTGCAGACAGCTCCAAAAATACCCCAGAAATCAGAGAGGATCGAGTCATAAAGCCCTGCTATAAAGTGCTGAACACTGTCCTTGGGACAAAAGCAGGGAGAAGGCTGGGAGTCAGCTCTGCTAAACAAGTACCATCACCTTAACCCAGCATTCATCTCACATAATTTCCCTCTCCAGCACAGACAGGGCACACGAGTTTGTTACAGAATAAATTTTTTTTAAATGTTTGGAGAAATTCCTAAGCAGGGAAAACTCAGGTCAGCTTCTTTTTATTTTTGCTTCCTTTGGGTTACAAACTCTGCTCCTACCTCTGCTCAGCCAGAAGTTGACGAAAATTTTATTTTATAAAGATCACTGGTGAGCTGATTCCCTCTTCCATTCAGAAGTGTCCAGGAGAAAAACTACCCCTATAGCTCTAAAAGAAATGGTAGCAAACCATCAGTGGTAACAGGACCAATTACCTTGATTTTACTTTCTACTGAATCAAAATGTAAAGCACAAGACCAGAGAGTGTTCTAGGGCTGGAACTGGTTTAGCAGACCATAGCAAGCCAGAACAAACATGACCCAACAGCACTGACTTAAAAGCCAACGGTATAAGTAATGCAGAATAAAAAACTATAATATCCTACTTTACTTCCCCAAGGTAAAGACTCTGGCTTGAATGGGAATTACTAGGCTGGAAAGGAGAAATGAAATCAGCTAGACCTCCTACCCCTTGTAGATGTTTCCAAGTAAGTTTACAAAGCACACAAGGTGTCCCTCTGGAACAGCTGTTCAACCCTACAATCATCCTGCCACTAAAAATTACAAACTTTGCCCAATTGTAACCCAACGTTTTCACATGTTGCAACTAAACAACTAGGGATAAAGCAAAAGGATATTGCTTCATCTCCTTCTCCCAACCCAACCCATATACAGGCTATATATGCAGCATTGAAGGATAAATGCATGTTCTCTGCAAGAAACCAGACTTCAAAGCTTGAAATTTGCTTAAAAACACTTTTTTTTGATGCCTGCACTGATTCTCAAAAGGTGGGGTTTTTTCATTATTTATGCACTTCTATTAAAAATTTATTCTTAGTATAAAATAGTCTGCCGTACTTGGAAAGGAACAGAAGATTGCAAGCTGCTTCCAAAGCTTTAAATAAAGGATCAGCCCAGCTGTGACAGTATTATGGTATTTTCATCACGTTAATGTGAAAGACCACAAACTGAAGAACTACAAGGAGCTACAGGAATTTACAGTACCCCCTAATCCCTAGGTTGACCAGGTCCTGTCCTAACAGTTAACGGAGTCACTCCACATTTCCACATCCTAATGTAGCTAACCAGCATTGCCCCGCACCAGCTTAAAGCACAAGTTTCTCCATCATTCAAAAAAATTATTGTGCAGAATGCAGAAATTCAGACAACAGTAGCTAGAAAGGATGCTCCTGCTATCAGCCTGACGCAGCCACCTCATCATCACCCTGCTGTTTAATTAATTAGATCTACTTCAACTGGATGCCCTCTGGCAACATGAAGAGTTCAATGAACCACAGCAACAGGTGGCAGGTGGGTCCTCTACAACAGTGGGCAGCACTGTTAAGTTATTTGTTTCCCTGCCTATCCAAGGAGGGAAGCACTGGATCCTACCACTACACCTTGGGTACCTGTGTGCATCTTGCTGATGTTTTCCATGTCTGCTCTTGTCTTAAGAACCATTCAGGTCTTCCATGATAGACGGACAGTTGTGTAGCTGATGCATTTACAAAGACACCTTGAAAGGCAAACGACAACCACAACACACTTAAGTCCCAGAACAACAGAGGCCTCTTAGTTGTGCCCACTGTCTCTACCCACACACGCAAATCCCAGGCTCAGAAAGCTTCCTGTGTTATAACCACAACTGTCCATCTCCTAACATTAAGCTGTTCACAACCGATTATTATCCCTTACAGGCAGGGAGGTAACAAACCAGCCTCCAGACCAGGTCTTACTTTGTGGCATGCCCTGCTGCTCTAAGTCCAGGGAGAAGCACTTTGCTCAGCTTCCCGGAGGCATATTCCCAAATGTCGGTCCTTCACACCGCTGCCTGTAGACACCATCACCCACCCCCTTCTGTCTGTCCAGCGGGGCTTCACAAACACCCCTGGCACATAATTTTGCTTCCACGTAAGCAGAATTTTTCTTCAACTGCCACCGTTTCTCCAGCCACTGCTGAAACACCCTCCCGTTTCCCATTTCAGCCAAACCCATTCGGTTCTGCAGCAGCAGGGCAATCGCTAGCCATGGCTTGACCCCAAATGGCACGGGAGAAAGGGCACGGCAGGTCAACCTCATCTTTGCCAGAGGAACCTGGAAAAACCTCAGACCACAGAAGCTGATTACGGAGTCAGCGGCGCGGGGGGCTGCACGCCTGTTGAACAGGCCGGGGGACGCAAGTACGGGCTCAGCAACAGGTGTTCCCTCCGAAACTCTAAAACGGAGAGCGCTCGGGCTCTCTGCAGGTAGCAGCACCTCCGAAAGAGGCCACGGATGGAACTGTCCATTTTAAAACACCGGCAGTGCCAATTAGGCAGATAACTTTACTTCTCTCCTCTCCTTCCAACGACTTCTGCTTAAGCTGTCTCAGAGCCCCGGAGCGGCCGGAGCACACCCAGTCCCCACCACCGCGCTGCAGCTGGTTTATTCCTTATTTTCCC